TGACAGATAAAAAATCTTTAAAAGAACCAGGTTCTGGAACCAAGGAACCAGGTTCCTTGGAGAAAAGGCTAATGCCAGCAACTGAAAGAAATGAAGTATTGGCTAGGTACGGTGGCTCACACCTGTAACCTCAGCACTTTAGGAGTCTGAGGCCGGAGGATCACCTGAGCACAGGAGTTAAAGACCAGCCTGGGCAACATATCAAGACCCCATCTCTACCAAAAATAAAAAGAAAAAAGAAAAAAATAAATGAAGTACTGACTGATACATGCTACAACACAGATAAACCTTGAAAATATTATGCTAAGTGAAAGAAGCCAGATATGAAAGACTACACATTCTATGATTCCATTTACAGGAAATGTCCAAAATGGATAAATCTGTCGACAGAAGGTAGATGAGTGATTGCCTGGGGCTGGCTAGGGAGTTGGGAGAAAACGGCAGGAGTGGTTGAAGGTTTCTTTTGGGGATGATAAAAATGTTCTAAAATTGATTTTGGTGACGGCTGTAAAACTCTCCGAAGATACTAAAACTAAAATGCACATTTTACATGGGTAAACTGCCTATGGCATGTGAATTAAATCTCAATAAAGCTGTTACCTAAAAAAAAGAAAAGGCCACTAAGTCATTCTTACTTGGTGCTTTTGACCAATCTCTGAAGGGCCCAGATTTAAGATACCATTAATAATGTACTATATTAAAAATAATTTTAGTAAAAAATAAAAATGAAAGAATTCTACACAGTGCTCAAAGGTGATCCATACTGACATCAAACCTGGGATCTGGTTTCAGTTCTACATAACTAGCTTTGTGACCTTGCCTAAGAATCCTTACTCCTCGAGGCCTGTTTCCTCATCTACAAAATGAAAAGCAGAACAAAGTGATCTCCAAGGCCCCAGTAATGTGACCACATGTAACGCACCAACCTTCTTTTCAACTCTGCCACCCTCTCAACTGACATGTTTCTTTCTCATTTTGCTTTGAAAGAGTCACTGGTGGCGACTTGCAGACAGGAGCATGGGCTGTGCTGTTGGATGGATGTGCTCCATCACTATGCAGCCTTGTGCAAGTTACTTAGCCCATCTGAAAATAACTTTCCTTACCTATAATGGAAAGGTGAGGGCAATAACAGCGTCTCCCTCCTAAGGTTTGTTTGGGGATGTAATGACTTAAAGGCAAACAGTATTCAGTACTGTATCTGTTGGCTATGACACTGCTGACTCCTTAGGCCTCTGTGATCTGGCCTCCAACCACAATCACCACATGGAAATTACACTCTCAAAGTCGCAAAGGACCTCCTAGTTGCCAAATTCACAGGTTGTTTCTGTCTTTATCTTAATTCTCCATAACATCTGTTATAGTCTCCTCAAAACACTGCAAGAGTTTTAGTTGGTTCCATACCCTAGAATATTTGCATTTTTCAGACTGATTTCAGTAATAATCATGAAATTAACTCAGTAGGTCCCAAGCAGCATTTTTTTTTTTTTTTGAGATGGGGTCTCACTCTATTGCCCAGTTTGGAGTGCAGCGGTGCTGGTGCAATCCTGGCTCACTGCAACTTCTGCCTGCCAGGCTCAAGTGATCCTCCTAACCCAGCCTCCTGAGTAGCTGGGACCACAAGTGCATGCCACCACACCTGGGTAATTTTTTTTTTTGTAATTTTGGTAAAGATGGGTTTCACCATGTTGCCCAGGCTGGTCTTGAACTCCTGAGCTCAAAAGATTCACCCACCTCCGTCTCCAAAGTGCTGGGATTACAGGCGTGAGCCACTAAGCCCAGCCCAGCATTTCTTTGTTAATGCAAATATAATTAAATAGTCGTTAAGTCTAGTGTATATAGTATGGGTAAAAATTGTTTCAAGAGACTTAAAAAAAAAGCGGCTTTAATTTCCATTTTATATGTCTGTGTTTCAGTTACATAAAAAAAAAAAAATTGCAAAATAGTACCCTAATGAGCCTGGAGGACATTAGGTTAAGTGCAATAAGCCATACACAGAAAGACAAATACCGAGCATTCTCATTCTTATGTGGGACCTAAAATAGTTGTGTTCACGTAAGTGGAGATTAGAATTGTGGTTACTAGAGGACGGGAAGGGGAGGGGAGATAGGGAAGGAGGATGGTGAATGGATACAAAATTATACTAGATAGGAAGAATAAATTCTAGTGCTCTATAGTATTGCAGGATGACTATAGTTAACAATAATTTATTGCATATTTTCAAACAGCTAGGAGAGAATTTTAAATGTTCCCAACACAAATAAATGATTAATGTTTGAGGTGACAGATATGCTAATTATCCCGAACTGATCATTACATTGTATACATGGGTAGAAATACAACGCTGTACCCCATAAATATATATTATTATGTTAGTTAAAATTGAAGTGTAAAAATAATACCCTAGATGTACATAATTAACCGCTTCTACCCTTAGTCTGGGTAACCTAACCTGTTATGATCAGTGTGTCTATGTTGAAAACAATCCAATCTTTATCCTGTGGCAGAGGTGGGGCCAGGGACAAGTCTGGCAGTCCCCTGACTCCAGTCCTAGCCCTGCCTCCAGGCCAGTCTTGCATTTTCAATTGGCTTTGTAGCTCCTTCATTACTGTTTGCCGAAGTCAAAAGCTACAAAGCTGAACTCCCCTTTCTGCAAATCCTCTTCTTCCTCCTATGGTTTTTGATATAAATAATAAGTGACATCCACTGAGTAGCTACTAAGTTCCAGGCACTCTACATATATTATCTCCAACCTTCAGAACAATCCTACTAGGCTTCCATTTAATATATGAGGAAGATGATGTTCAGAAAGGATAAATGATTTAGTTAATTTACTCACATGCTAGAAGTACAAACCACATTTCTGGCTCCAAATCCCTCCAACTGCCCCTTCCCATTATACCTGGCTATCATAACGTAAAATGAAATAACCACCTTTGGTTTTTCTACACCAACTGGGACTCAGAATTAGTTCTAACACAATGGAAGGAATTCTCACCTTCTCTCCACACATCTGAGGCACAGCCTCTCATTGAAGCACTGTTTCTCACACTGCTGGGGAAGGAGTGAGGGTATGGATTTAGAGACGGTCACAAGAGAAGAACTGCTTCCTACAAAAAAAGCACCCACAGAGATGGATACGCTCTCCCACATAAAAAACACTGCTACTGGGGAAGGGTCCTCATGTCTGTAGAGTGTCTACAAACATTAGCTCATTTAATCCTCAAGGCATCCTGCAAAGCAGGGCATTCTCTGGCTTTACAGATACCTAAAACTAGGATCAAGTAGCTAGTGAGGGGTAAAGTTGAGTTCAAAATCTGTCTTTTTTTTTTTTCTTTGAGACAGAGTCTCACTCTGTCGCCCAGGCTGGAGTGCAGTGGCATGATCTCGGCTCACTGCAACCTCTGCCTCCCTTGTTCAAGCAATTCTCGTGCCTCAGCCTCCCAAGTAGCTGGGATTACAGGTGCCCGCCACCATGCCTGACTAATTTTTGTATTTTGAATAGAGATGGGGTTTCAACATGTTGGCCAAGTTGGTCTTGAACTCCTGACCTCAGGTGATGCACCTGCCTTTGCCTCCCAAAGTGTTGGGATTACAGGTGTGAACCACTGCGCCTGGCCAATCTGTCTTTTTACTATATTATGTGGCCCTGCTGTTCACAAAATCAATCAGTTGCCCAGGCATGGTGGCTCACGCCCATAAGCCCAACACTTTGGGAAGTCAAGGTGGGAGGATTGCAAAGGCCAAGAGTTCAAAACCAGCCTGGCCAACATAAGGAGACCCTGTCTCTATAAAAAATAATTAAAAAAACAAAATCAACCATCAAGCCATGTTAAAAGTATAAAAATCTCACATTTCTCCTTTCTACTCTGCTCCTGCAGTTTCTAGCTTAATCCACGTCTTCCTCACCATCCTTCATTTGCACTTCTGTTCACCAATATGTATGGCAGTGCAGGTAAAACAGTTCAAAGAACAGGCTCTAAAGTCGTGACAGATTTTGAAACTCAACTAGTTTGCTGTGCGATGTGGAGCAAGTTAAATAGCCTCTTTGTGCCTCAATGTCATCATCTAGAAAATAGGGATAAGTAGCTCCCTCATGGATGGGTAAAAGGATTAAATGAGATAATGTGTTTTTCTTGGCCTGCAAATTCTCTCCCTGCTCATCCATCCTGTTATCTACTGTTCCCAGTGCAATCTTTGTTCATCTCTGCAGCACCTCTTCGTCTAGCTCAGGGTCTGAGTAGGTCAAGGGGAGGATTTCTCATGAGGTGATGTTCTCAATCTGGCAGATCAAAAGGCTTTATTTGCTGTAGTCCAAAAAGAGAAGGATATTGCAAGGGAGATGGTGAATGGGGACGTTCTCTCTACACTCAAATCTACCCCAATCTTTCCATCAGCTGCTGATAACCACATGAAAACACAGGACTGCATTCTTCTAGTCAGATGAATCAGGTGGTATTTTAAACTTGTGTCTGAAAGTCTTTCCCTCCTCTCCCAACACACACAGAGATAATCACAAAATAACAAACATCAGTGTTGGAAGGAATCTTAGGAACCATCCAGTAAACCTCCTCACGTTGCAGATAAGGAAATTGAGACCTAGAAACTAGACATGCCCAAGGTTCCACAGCTATGCAAGTCAGCCAGGACAGTACAATCACCTCAGGAAGGGGGAAAGGCAGAAATGTGATTTTGGCCAGTAATCTTTACCTTAAAAGCTTATTACACACTCCCTGTAACTGCACACTCTGCTCCATCCAAGTGACAAACGAGAAAACGTACTCTCCTTTGAACAAAAAGCGTGAGTTCCACGATACAGAGCCACTAGCCATTGCTACTTCTCCCCTCAGTAAAATAAATCCACCCACAAAAAACACAAAATTCCCAGCAGGGACATACACCAAAACAGGAAGTCTAACATTCTACTGATTTAGAAGACAGCTGAGATAACCATTAAGGAAGACCATCTTCACTGCAACCCACTCTCCCACCCACTCACCCCAAAACAAAAGGAAAATGAAGGAAATGCTCTTTAGTAGAATGGGAAAGGTCTCTCTCCCCGTTTGCAGGGCTCACTGACCACAAGGATCAACGCAAAGACAACCAGGGCACTGAAAAGTGAAGGGAGAGCAAGGCTGAACACTGAGGGGCTGACCCCTGATTGGAGTGGCTTGAGAAGTGGCAGGGGGAACAGGGCACTGGAATGAGAGAGGGCTGGAGCGAGGGTCAGCAGGGCGCGCGAGAAGAGGAATGGAGGGTCAGCAGTGGCTTCAGTGGGTAAGGGTTCAAGGCATGAGTAGAGGAGGTTAGGGGGTCAGAAAGGTCCCAAGACAGAATGGGTAAGGGGTCAGTGGCAACAGGGTTCCGGACAGAGAAGAGCCAGGAGGGTGTGAGCGCGCCGCGGACCTCCCACTGCTCCAGAAGACGCGCCATGTCTGCATCATTGTAATCGCGAATATCCTTCTTCTTCTTCCGGGGAGGGGGGGTAGACTTGTCGGGCGTCCCGGGCGAGCCTTCGGCCGCGCAGGACCCAGGCGGTGGTAGCAGCAGCAGCAGCAGCAGCAGGTCAGAGGCCCAAAGCAAGACCACGGCCTTGCGCGCCCAGCTGGAAGCCGCCATTTTGGCCTCGCCGCGCAGCGCCGCAGACAAGCCGATCCCACCTGCGCGGGCCGCCCGGGCCCCGCCCCCGGCCGCAGCCGGCGCCGGACCCCGCCTTGCACACGCCTTCCTCTCCGCCTTCCTGAGGCCCCGCCTCCCGGCGCTCGCTAGCCTACCGGGCCCCGCCCCGTCCCATTTCCTCGGCCCCCGCCTCTGGAAGTCCCACCCCCCCGCCATTTTGGCCCCGCCCGCCCCACTGGCTCCTCCCCTTGGTCCGGCTGAGGCGCTCTGCGCCGGCTGGGTGGGTTCCCGAGTGCTCGTTTTTCGTTTTCCGTCAGAGGCCGACCTTTTTCTCTGGAACGCACAGGCCAGGTCCAGAAGTTCCTTCAGGGCCTCCAGGAACCATTAACCTACGTCCCTGTTGACCTCAGTTTCTCGCCTGTGAAATAAATTGGAAATGGAAGTTCTGGAGGCTGCCTCAGCTCTAAAAAGCCCATTTCTGGATGTCAGACGTTTATCCTCAGTCTCTTGCAATTTCCTTTGAGAATAGCCAGTTAAAAAGAAGTGAGTGGCAGGTAGGGCAACTTTTTTCAGAAAGTCAGAAATAGGTCGAGCCCACTGCTTTCCTTATCAATAAAGAGGATTCAGTTCAACCAGATTTCAATATTTGTCATCTCCTAAACTTGAAGGAAAAAAAAAATTTTTTTCAAAAAGATTACTATTCATCCCCAAAAAAGCTTGCCTTTCTTTGATTTCAACTTAATACTGTGGGCTCTGACTAATCCTTGTCAAGGCTGAATCACGCTACTTTTTGTTTCTTAAAAAGATTTTGGCCAGAGATGCTTTTGAGATTCTTCTTGTTTTAAACAGCTCATCAGCAGATGTCTTTAAAATGTTTAATTACATAAGAAGACCTTAAAAAAAAAAAAAAAAAAAAGGCCGCACGGTGGCTCACGCCTTTATAATCCCAGCACTTTGGGAGGCTGAGGTAGGACGATAATTTGAGCTCAGGAGTTTGAGACCAGACTGGTCAGTAAAGCAAGACCCCCATCTCTAAAACAAACAAACAAAAAAACCCTTTCATTCTTTATACTGCTGCACAGTTTTATTTGGTATTGTTACATTAATAGTTTATTTTCTTATTGATGGGCATTTTTTTACCAATTATTCTGCTATTACAACAAAAAAGAGCTGTAGTAAACTTTTTTCAAGCCTTGTTTGGATAGGATTAGTAGGCTACATATAAAAGAAAACTGACTTTTAAAAGTGGCTTAAACAAGATAAAAAGTTTGTGATTGATTTTTATTTCACAGAAGCAGTGGAAACTCGAATCTAGGACTGGTATGGTGGCTCCTCAGCCATCTGGTACTCGGCCTCTTCCTCATCCTTCTATCATATTGGCCTGTGGCTTCCACCATCAAGGTCACAAATTCCCGGATGGCTACTGGAGCTCCAGTCATCAAGATGATATTCAACCAGAGGAAGGGAGATGGAAGGCAGGCCAAACCAAGCACACCTTTCAAGTGGAGTCAACTTCTTTTAAGCAGCCTACTTGAACATTGCATACATTTCTGTTTACATCTCGTTGGCTGGAACCTAGCTCTCCAAGGGAGGCTGAGAAATTGTCTTCTAGTTGTATACATTGTCATCTCAAATAAAATTAGGATTGTAATAAAGGGAAAAGAATAAAGTGGAGGTTGAGTAGGCAACTACACCTGCTTTCCTTCACTCTTAGGACCAATGCAATTTAAATTCTCTCACACTGTAGGGGTGGCTGATAGTCTACATATTCATGCATGCATCTGTACGTAAATGCGCTAAGCTATGACCTTTCCTATTGACATTGAGCAGAAACAACTCGTAAGAAAAAGATTTTTTCTTTTGTGAAATCATAGGGGAAATGTCATGAGCTTTCTCCCCAGAGCACATTGCTCCACCCAGTGGCTTGGAGCCCTATCCTGGTGCAGTCATACTGAAAAACATGCACAGCTGTGGCCGATCATGTGCTCTGTTGGGAGGGGTCACCCTGGTAATTCATATTGCCAGTTTCAAAGTTAAGGGGCAAAGGTGCTGGGGTTCTTGGCCCACATATCTAGTTATAGTGAATAAGATCATTGGAAGTTTTACAGAAATTGTTGGGAATATGTAGAAAGTTTCAAGGCTGCTGACTTTCCTCTAAGGAGGAAATCAATTCAGTATATAATCCACTGATGTGAAAACATCTGGATCAACTGCATTTTCAACATTTGGATATTTGAAACTTACCTTAGTGTTTGGAACTTGATTCCATTCAACTCAGGGGGAATTTTATTTACCAAAGACCTACTGTTAACCAAGAATCAAGTGAGGCTCTGATGCAAAAATGAATATAATGAGATCCTTACTCTTGCAATTTTGGACTGGCAGAGCAGATAAACAATACACAGTAAATTTCATGCAGATTACAGGAGATCCAGGCCCAAAGGGATGATGTGATGAAGATGATAATATCTCCATTTTAAATAAGAGGAAATCCTGGTTTTAGAAGTATACAATTTGTCTGAGGCTGCACAGCTAGTGCAGTGGCAAGGCAAGAATCTAAGCCGAGGTGTACTGGACAACAAAGTCCAGTCTTTCTTGGAGTCCTTCTTCCACCACAGCACCATCTAGGTTAATCAGTGAGGCACTCAGGATAGTTAAATTGGGAGCCAAATGGAAAATGGATTGAAAAGTCTGGAGCCAGGAGCACTCAGATGGGACAAGAGTCTCTGCCAGGTCCCAGGTGGTGCAGTGTAGGCTGGAGAGGACAGATGTGAAAGGTTGTGTCCTCATGGCCTAAGTAAAGCCACAAGTCTCTTCAGTGCTCTGAGGTTAATACTAACCCCACCTCTAAGTGATTCAGTTACTGTGGATGGTAAAGCTGAATCTCAGATATAATTAGTGTCTTAACCTGAGCTCATCCTGGCACGCATCATTCCACAACAGAGGAGGGTGAAACAAGACTTTCTAGTACTATTTGGAAGCAGGCTGGGGTAATATTGAAAATGTTGAAAAACTGGAGTAAAAATGACCAGGTAATCAGAACAGAGGCAGATGAGCTGATGGGTACAGTCACCACTGTGCCAAACATTAACCCTCTAATGACTGACTCATGGGAAGGCATAGGAGGAGGGGCCTGGGGATGGGCTGAGAGAGGTAATGAATATTTACCATTTTGCACTTTTGCTGCTTTTTAATCCAATGTAAGAACAGACATACTGCATACTTCCTGGGCTTTACGAGCCCCTAAATTTACTCACTTAAAAAATTTAATTACATAGAAAGACATGAATCATTCATTGTAATTGTTAAATATTGGTAGCAACTAACTGGTTGCCTTTTGTTGGAATTTCAAATTTTCAGCAGACAATGTGACTGGCCCAGTCTGAAGCAGGTGTCCATTCCTGGTCACCACCATTATCTGTGAGCAGAAAAGCATACTTACAGGGTTAAACATAATAATATTTGTGTTTTCCTAGCTGGGCATGGTGGCTCATACCTGTAATCCCAGCACTTTGGGAGGCTGAGGCGGGCAGATCACCTGAGGTCAGGAGTTTGAGACCAGCCTGGCCAAGATGTTGAAACCCCATCTCTACTAAAAATACAAAAATTAGCTGGGTGTGGTGGAACCTGTAATCCCAGCTACTCGGGAGGCTGAGGCAGGATAATTGCTTGAACCCGAGAGGCACAGGTTGCAGTGAGCCAAGGTTGTGCCACTGCATTCCAGCCTGGACGACAGAGCAACACTCTGTCTCAAAAACAACAACAACAACAACAACAACAACAAAAAACTTATAAATCAGTAAGGAAAAGATGAAAAACCAAATGAAAAATGGGCTAGGACATGAATGGGTAATTCCCAAAACAATAACTATAAATGGCCAGTTCACATATAGCAGAAACAAAACATAACACAGAATCTCTCTAATATAAAAAAAATGCAAATTCAAACATCTTATAATTTTTAAATTATCAGTTGATCCTGGATAAAAATATAGACAGTATACACTGTTGGCAAGGCTGAGGAAAGAAGCCTTCTCATTCACTTCTGGGGGGATGGAGTTTGCTGCTTGAAAATTAGGTGAAATGTATCAACTCCCCTTCCCCTTAAAAAAGTGCATAATCTGATTAGCAATTCCACTTCCAAGAACTTGACTCTGAGGAAACAGACAATGAAAATAATAGTAATGCTAATAATATTGAGCACTTACTATGCGACAGGCACTCTGCTGAGTGCTTTCTGTGTATTTCTTCACTTACCCAATGTAACAAGCCTATAACACTCTCCATGAGTGGGGAAAACAACTCTAAGTGTTGCAAAAATTGTAGACTATAAAATCTACATTTACAGTTGCAAGCTGTATTCCACACATACGATGGGTAATATGCAATCATTAAATATATCATATATATTTGTTGCTACTAAAGATGTTCATTTTATACTATTAAATGATTTTAAATGCTATTAAAATTATACAGGTATATATCTATGTATAGGAAAAGAGCTGCAAATATGTATATGATGGCTGTCTCTAAGCAGTGAGATTCCAAAATATTTTAACCTTTTCTCTGTATTTTCTATTTTTCTTCACATCTAACATACATCGGTTGTGGTGTGTTGTTTTTGTTTGTTTGTTTGTTTTATTGAGATAGGGGCTTGCTCTGTTACCCAGGCTGGAGTGCAGTGGCATGATATTGGTTCTCTGCAACCTCCACCTACCAGGCTCAAGGGATCCTCCCACCTCAGCCTCCCATACCACACCTGGCTAATTTTTGCATTTTTTTTTTTTCTTTTTTGAGACAGAGTTTCGCTGTGTAGCCCAGGCTGGAGTACAGTGGCGCAATCTCAGCTCACTGCAACCTCCGCTTCCCAGGCCCCAGTTCAAGCAGTTCTCCTGCCTCAGCCTCCTGAGTAGCTGGGATTCATGGCACATGCCACCATGTCCAGCTAATTTTTGTATTTTTAGTAGAGATGGGGTTTCACCACGTTGGCCAGGCTGTCTTGAACTCCTAACCTCGTGATCCACCTGCCTTGGCCTCCCAAAGTGCATTTTTTCTTTCTTTTAAAGAAATAGATTTTCACCACGTTGCTCAGGCTGGTCTAGAACTTTTGGGTGCAAGCGATCCACCCACCTCGCCCTCCCAGAGTGCTGGAATTATAGGCATGAACTGCCGCGCCTGGCCCACTTGTGCTTTAAAAGGAGAGACACACACAAACACTGCTGCTCACAAAATGTGAATTGGTACCCTTCTTTCCACCAAGATGTAAGGGGGAAAAATCTAATTTCAATAGAAATTATCAGAATAATACATGTAATTCAAATTATCTACAATACTGCAATGGCCTTGAAAATTTGGGGATGAGATCTGAATCTCCAAAGAAGGCAGGACTTTTCTCTGTGTCATCTGAAAAAATTACGTGTACTTTGCAGCATAGATATATGCAGTTATGTTTAGAAAATTCAGTCTGTTTCCAAAGAATCACCTCCCTGGACTGTCCCAAACAAGCTGTAAGAAAAATGAGGTGAACATACTTGCTAAGCAAACAGGCCTCCGGCCTCCCCTTCAATCTTAGGGTTGTGAGCTTTTAGATCATGACCAGACCTAGACTGTACCCCTGCTGTTGTTTCATGAATGTCCATGACTTTCTGTCCATTACTGAATGAAAGTTGTGAGCAGTCAGAGTTTGGTTCAATAAAAGGGTGCCTTTCTTGTGCAGAGATTTAACAAATGAAATAATTCATTACCTATTGCCATAAACACTCAATACATTAAGTGTGGGGGGAGATGCACAGATCAAGTCCCTGCCCTTACAGAGATGATAGGGTTGTGGAGAGAGATACACCAACAGTTACAAGTACTTGACGTCACTCTGAAGATGAGCAGGCATCACAGTAGCTACAAGAGGGGAAGAAATACCTGGGTCTGTCTGAAGGATCAGGGAGCCTCCTTGTGAGGCACCAATAAATCTAATCACTCTGTAGTTACTGAATACCAGGTACCATGCGAGATGTCAAAACTTGGTCAGGCATGATTAGTGGTAGGAGTCCAGGGTGCCTGAAACTTAGCACTTGTTTTTTCTCTTCTCCAGGATGCTGGAAAATGGAAAATACATCCAAAGATGACTGGCCACTAGATGAATGGGGCACAGAATTTATTAATCTGTGCAAGCAAACTTTGCCTCCATGAGGGTGCTCTGGCAAACTACTGCAGAAAATTCCAGATCTCCTAGACTTCAGGACCTGCAGGCTCAGGTATGCCTGCCAAGGTATAACTGGTCCAGCACACAGGGTCCCTTACACACCCAGCTGCAAGTGAACAAAGAGAAAGCATGGAGGGAGGGAGGGTGGAAACTGGGGCTGGGGAGGAAATGGGAGTGATGTGTGAGGTACTGCCCCGGTGTTCTTACTGGATGGGAACAAAATATACCAGAGAGCAAGAGGACATGCCGGGTAAGGAGAGCGAGCTGTTAAGACAGTGATCTTGTTCCTTGGTGAACCAGGGGCTGTTGTCATGCATCACCTATGACAATGAGGGAATCTGGGGAAAAGAGGAAGAGATATAAATTCCGCTCTTTTACAATAGATAGTGAAAGGGAAATAATGAAGGGTGATGTCTGCATATGTATAAGAAAGATAGCCTGAGATGTAATTGGCCCATTTGTGTGCACAAAAGCAAAACAGAGGGACACTGC